TTTCACACAGCCTTACATAATGCCAGGCTCAGTGCCCCTTTAAAACCTGCTCAATTGAGACTACAATCCTCAAGCCACTGGGAAGATAAATAGATCAACCCAGGTATTATCCAGTTGGAGAAATTCCGTCAAATGCGTGAGAAGTCACCTGGGATGAAATGAAAGCGTAAGCCTCTGTTGGAGAATGTGACAAAAGGCAAGCTGCTTCCAGGGACAGATCAGTTAAAGATGCCTAGGAGGTATTTGTTGGTTGTGAAGTTTTCCCAAACGGTAGAATCGAGGTGAATGGGAGACAAATCAAGGTAAGGTGGTAGAAAAATAAACGCACAGTAGTTCTGAGGAATATTTCTACGACCTCCTCAAAAGTAGCCTCCGATCTCCAACCCCCAAGCCTCAAGAAGATTTTCATCATGCAGAAGTTTCTCAGAGCCCCCTCTCCCACACCTACTTTCCACTAGAACTCCCTGTCACTTGCAATCTGCTGATTAGGGCTAATGTATTGTGTCCTGATATGGCAGATTAAAAATGAAATCAATAAATGCCCAAAACAAATGGGCTTTTGAGATGTCCCATTCAATCTGGGTCTTTAAGGGTGAGGTGAGAGGTGGGAGAAGGAAATCAGGAGGGGAGTGGGGAAGGGACCACTTAAGTAATCAATTTCCATCCAAAAGGCTCTGTGCAGGATGTAATTTCGTGGGACCTGTCCTTCCTTTTTCAGGGATTTGCCTTAAATAACAAGAAGAGCCAGAACAGTTCACGGCTGCTGAGCCCCTCTGGGGGTGTGTGTGTTTATTTTTTCCATTCATCTGTTAAAACCATACCGTTTGGGTAAGTGAATGGGGTCTATAGCGTGTGGTATTTAAATCTTCAAGATGTGAACTTGTCTTTCTGAAGTATATTTCAACAAAGTGAGAGTGCCAGGGTCCCAGACTCCACCCGGATTCCTGTTCCCTTGGAATCCCATCCCACTTGCCAGTAAATTAAAGGTAAACTACACCCTGTACTGCCTGCCCCTCCCCGCCCTGCTGGCAGAGATTGCTGAGACCTCCCTGGTTCACCCAGGCACCGCTCTCATGAGGCTGAAAAGGAGATCGCTGGGGTCAACTCTGCTCCATTGCAGGATTCAGAACTGTCCCTGCTGAATATGTTCCCCATGTAAATAAACTATGCCATTAAGGTGCAAATTGCAACTTTTAAGTAATGATTGCTAATAGTCTAATGTTTACTGCCACACAAGGACATTCATGAAAACAAAATCTGCATTATTCATCTCCATATTAAATAAACAAAATAAATTGAGGGAGCTGTTCTTCCCTGCAAGACTTTCCTCAGATCTGGATTATCAGATAGTTTATGAGAGTCAACAAGAAGGAACCATTTAATCTCTCTGGGCTGGCAGAAGCAGAATCCTGTAACTTATGTATACATTCGATATTCACAAGCCCAAAGATTTTGCATTCTATTACACTTGGCTGGCATTATATAAAAACAATAGTTCAGGGTGGTAAAATAAAATATATGTATTACACATGTCTGTGTACAGAGGCTGTGACAGATTGTAGAAAATAGAAGGGTTTGCAGTGTAAGTCTGCAATTTTAAATTTTTAACTACTATGCATCCTGCAAAATACAAACAGATCAAAACGCTGCTCTGTTTTATTTTACCTTTCTGCCATCTTCCCTATCTGCCCTAAAATGGAGAGGGGGAAAAGATGCTGATAGAAAATTCTGCAATATTCTCAGGTAAAAGTGGATGCATTTTAGTAGCGAGTGAAATATACATCCAAGGAAGTGAGCACACACACTCACACATACACAAACCCCTGGGGTACTATAGGCTGTTTCTGAACTTTTTTTTCTTGCCCGAAGTAATAGTATGGTGGAATAGCATAGCTGTAGAAAAAGCCAGGAAGAATGACATTTCAGAGGGAAATGTTCTGACTTAGCTGTTTCCTTAAAGAGAACTGCCTACCTCACATCCCTTCCCCTAAAGAGAGGGGTTGTGGGGGGGGGTGGCAGAACGTCATATATAAAGACTGAGATTTCCCATCACTTATAATATCATCTTGTTCATTCTATCTGCATACCTGCTTTATTAGAAAGTTCTGTAACTGATTCCTTGAAACATGGACCTTAAAACTAATAATGCAAAGGGATCAAATTGCCTCGAACAGTTCTTGGGAAAGAGTCTCAGCTCTGATTCACTCACAGGCTTTTTCTATCTTACATTATTCATTAATCAAGCTAGAAATCAAGCTTTCAACATCAGTCCATGGGAGTAATTACTTACAGTTGTGCATTGTGTTTAATTTCAGGCAGCGATAAAAGTTAGTATGGCCACAATCCTAGAACCCACCTTGTTCTTTTCCCTGGTTGTCAACTGGCTCAAGACTCCCCAAGTGGCTAACTTTACTCGTGAATCACCACCTCAGCTAAAACAGAGGACAGCATCGGTGACTTTGGAGGAAAGAAAACTTGCATGAAAAAATATGTTTTATTAATATGTGAGCAAATAAATACTGTACGAGGGGCCTCATTGTATACAATACGAATCACTCCCTTTCAGCTCCACCAGGCTTTCCCCTTTTTTCAGTGAAAATAATAAAGCCATGAAAACAAACATATAAAGACATTAGGCATACAATAAGCCAGAAAATTGAAACTGCAGTCTCAACTTTCTAACACACACACACACACACACACACACACACACACACACACTACAGTAAATAGACAAGCCAGTTCCAATAGATATGAGCTTAATGAAAATGATCTAATTTAAATAATGTGATACAGCATTATGTTACGTACACCTGGATCCTCATTGATCAGAGGATAATTATAATCAAAGTAGTGCAATTCTGAGCAATGCACTTTTTATAATGAGCTTACCAAAGGAGACATGTCCAGTCATTCTGGTAATTTAAATTACTGCCTAGTTGTTGATGGCCTTTACCGGAACAACAAGGGGGGGAAAAAAAAGAGTAATTTTCAGGGCAGTATTACTTCTTGCTGGACTGTTGCCCAGGGTTCTCTTTTGGGACAATAAGGACGCTATCTCTAATAATCTAGCTACACGAAAACTTGGGTTGCCAGAACTAGAAGGAGCATGCTTACTTTTCCTGGGTCTAGAAGGCCAGCACACACCCCAACGCTGTCAGATTGCAAAACAATCTAAGTTGTTTGTTTTTTTTTTTTAATAAGTGAGTTAAATGTAGACAGGGACAGGGACAGGGGCAGGGGCAGGGGCAGGGGCAGGAGGGAGAAACTGTTTTCAAAAGAGGTAGCCAGAGTTGAGAAAAGTACACCTCACTGACTAGGCAAGTTCTAAATATACACAGCACTGAAAATATTTTAATTATTTTGCTCTTAGGGAAACAGTTGGAAAATACATGAATCAAAGCTTTATAAATGATATTTCCGCATGCAATTTGAACCAATCTACGCATGGTTACGGAAGCAATTCTGCGCTCTGAAGGGAAGATAATTGTGGATATTTCAAAGCACATGGACTGCCATTCAGGCTGGAATCAGGCCATGATGGAGGATGAGCTTGGTGGTCCAGCATGTTCAGACACAAACACCCACTTTGCCCAGATTTGTAACTAACTTTGGATTTGTTCTAAGGGTGGCTTTACAAAGTTTACAGAAGTGTTCCACTGAACTTCTCTCTAATGTTTTGCTCATACAACAGAAGGAAATGTGTTGTTGGGTCTGCAGAACACCAGCCTTAATGGATGCCGCCTAAAGCATGAGGGTAAAGACAGAGACGGGGAAAAACTTCAGCTTTTCGCTAAAGCCCTGATTCAACTAAAGGACACAAAGAAATAAAAACGCCCACATTAAAAGCCAAACAAGATAATAATTGTGCATGTCTGGCTCTGAATCTAGAGGGCAAGGCTTGCGTCACCGGCACTCTGAGTTACCATGGTGAGTGATTTATTGATATATATCAAGAATGAATAGATCAAAGGCAGCGAGATGACAGGTGATCAATCAAATGTCAAATCAAAACTAGCAATCAAGTGGAAAGCTGATTTTTCAGTGGGTGGGTCTGGCAGGAGAAAAATGAACTTTCATATTACACTTCCGAGAAACAAAACCCCAGCATACTATTAAAGAAGCAATTAAGCAACCCAAAAGAAAAAAAAAATCCTTTAGAAGGTCTATTGTACTGATTCATTAACCTGTTCCTCTCTTTTATTTGGGGGGGGAGAGGGGGGCTGGTAAGGAAGGATTCAGATGGGATACCATATAAATCAATTTACAAAGTTTGCAACTCTCTCTGGGCAAAAAAAATCCAGAGCTGTTTCAATGTTCTCCTGGGTCTTTTCCCCCCCTTTTTAAAAGAGAAAGAGTGTGTTGAGTAGATTCCCAAGCATATTTAGAAAGCATATTCAAAGGTTCATTCCTTTCCTGGGGTGGTTTTTTCCACCTTGGCGGTCAAAGTTAAACTCTCATTGCTTGCCCCAAAGCCAGCCTGCAGCCCAGGGCTTGGGCATACCTCACACTTCAGCGCCCCAAACCCCAGCGAGAGGAGTCGCTGTCCCTCGAGGCCAGGAAGCCACTGGCACTGACCACGCGGAGGGATGCGGGGGTGGAAGGACGGTCTCCCTACCCCGCACCCCAAATCCTCAACCCAACTTTGGCCCGAGAGGCAAGAAACAGACTGGGAGAAAGTTAGGGGTGGGGTAGAGGGTGGAGGAAAAAAAGTTTAAGGAGGGAAGGCTTGGTGGGATAGCTTCCCCCCCACCCAACCGGAGCCTGCAAAGGGGAGGATTTGGGAGATGGAAGAAGGCGAGAGAGAGAGAGAGAGAGAGAGAGAGAGAGAGAAGAGAGAGAGAGAGAGAGGATGGGGTTATTCGTGGGGCAGAGAGGGGCGCCCGGAGCGAACTCCCCCCACGGCTCAGGGGGTGGCGTCCTGGGGCGCCCGGGGGCTAGGAGGGCGGGCGAGGAGCTCGGCGCGCCGGGCAGCCCCGAAGCGGAGCCGGTTCTCTTACCTGCCGCCCGCTTGGGTGCCTGCTGTTTCCTCCTTGGCATCGCTCTACTTCGCTCCAGTCCCACTTCTGGCGCCCCAGCCCCGAGCCGCGCGCGGGGGCCCGCTGCTCTCTCGCCTCTCTGGGTCTCCTCCGCCTCCTGCCCGGTGGCTCCTAGGGCGTCACTCGGCCTCTGTCCCCCTGGCGATCCCCCCTGCAACTCCTCCACCACGGGCCAGAGACCCCCCTCTCTGGGTGGCGGACACGGGTGGCTTGTGCCGGCTGGTTTGAAGTAGAGGTTGGTTCTGCCTTGTTTGTTTGTTTGTTTGTTTTGGATTTTTTTTTCCTCTCTCTCTCTCTCTTTTTGTTTTTGCTTTTTGGAAATTTTTGGTTTTTTGGTTTTTTTTTTTTTTTTTTTTTTTTGGTGACTGTTGAGACACTTGATTTCTTTATTAAACATCCAAGACCGCGTTCGGATGGAAGGGACGAGGGGCGCACACGCGCCACACGCACACGCGCGCGTAAAGATAAGGGGGAAAAAAGGCAATCCTGGGAAGGTAGTGGTTTCTTCTTCTTTTTCTTCTTCTTCCTTCTCCTCTTTCCCTCCTCCTCCACCTCCTCCTGCTCTTCCTCCTCCTCCTCCTCCTCCTCCTCCTCCTCCTCCTCCTCCTCCTCCTCCTCCACCGCCTCCTCCTCGCCGGTCTCTATGGCGGATTCGCGCCGGGGGAGAGAGATCACTCACTGTAGGTTTGTGGCTGCTGTCAGATCCCCGTCTGTGAGTGATATGCGAGAGGACAGGAGCGGGTTTGGGAAAGACAGAAAATCTGGAATTCACTCACTCACACACACTCACACTCACACACACACACAGACACACACACAGACACACACTCACACGCACGCACGCACTCGCGCTTCCTCTCGCACACACTCACACCCCCCACATACGCGCGCACACACACACACACACGCACGCACACTCACACTCACACACACAAGACAGGGCGAGGCGATGCCAGCAAACATCGATCCCGCTGAACAAACTGAACATTAACAAACTCCTCCTCCTCCTCCTCTCCCCTCGACCTGATGACAGGGAGAAATTTACTCCCCAGCCGCAGAGCGCCAGGCAGAGGGAGTCTATTAAAGGGACAGCGTCCCGCCAGGGAGAGGGGCTGGGGGCGGGGACCCGGCGCGCCCGCCCCGGGCTCCTCCAGGCGACCCCCTCGCTGGGGCGAGGACGTGCCCACCGGCGCGGGGACACCCCTGCGGGGGGTGGGGTGGGGGGTGGGGGTGGGACGGGCACGGATGCGGGAGGAAAGGGGGCAGGGTGATGGCCAAAGTCCGCGGCTGGAAAGGGAGCTCCAGGGGGCCAGGTGAGCCCACCGGCAGTGCCATTAACGATACTTGTTAGGAAGCTGAGAACTTAGGTCTGCTTTGGGCGGGGAAGGGGGAGGGCACCTTATCCAGCAATGACCTCCATCCTCCAAGTCTCTTAATCTGACCTGGGAGATGTCCTCCCCACCCCCACCCCCACCCCCATCCTAAGTTTAATGCCCCTGCCCCTCCCACCTTCCTTCTATTTGGCGGATGGTCAGAAAAAAAAAAAAACCCTCCCATCTGCCTCCTTGATAGTTTAATCACATAGTCTCTCTGTTTAAATAGTATTTATTGAACACATACTATGTGCCTATTCTGGAGACACAGCAGCCATAGAGATAGGGAAGCTCCTGGCCCTCTTTGTGTTTCTCTTCTAATGGGGGCACAGAAATGTCACTCTCAGATATCGAGTCTTTGCATAAATGTCACTTTCTCCCAGAGGTCTACCTTACTTAAAATTTTCACACACACACACACACACACACACACACACACACATATGCTCCCTATCCCTTTCTCTATTTTATCTTTTTCCACTGGGCTTATCAATATCATATATATTATAGTTTCTATTTTGTTTATTGGCCTAGTTCCTTTTTAGAATATAAGCTCTGCTGGGAAGAGGGATTTTGCCTCTTTTGTTCGCTGTTCTATCCCCAGCGATGGTAAGGGACAAGACATATAGTAGGGGCCCAATATAATATTTGTTGAATGAATGAAAAGTAAGCAAGCAAATAAACAAGATAATTTCCGAGTGATAAGCTCCACGAAGATGTTAAAATAGGGCCCGTGACAGCATCTGAAGGTGGAGGGTAGCTCTAGTCAAGGCGGGAGACCCCACTGGAGCTGAGATCGATTGCAGCCAACATGTGATCCTTGAGCCAGGTGTGGGCCCAGGTGCTGGGGACAGGGCCAAACCAGGACTCTGCCCTCAGGGAACTCTCCTTCCAGTGGGAGAGACAGACAAAGGGGCAAGTGATGTGTGATGGGGCAGGAGGTGTACTTAGGAGGGGCAATTAACCTGGACATGGAGGCAAGGAGGATGGTTTCGAGGCAGAGCTTCCTGGGGAAGAGTCAAGTCTAAGCTGAGTCCTAAACACGGAGGAGTCAGGCAAGAGGGAAGGCAAAGAGAGCCAAAGCCTTAGAATAAGAGGGCAGGCATGGCCTCGTTCTTCCCAGTCAGGGCTCTGGCTGCCTGCGCCCAAATCCCCTGAGGCCCTTGTGAAGATGCACATTCCTAGGCCTTACCCTAGAACAAGAGGGTCTAACCCTAGCTCTACTGACATTTGGGGCCATAATTCTTTATTGTGGAAGCTGTTCTGTGCAATATAGGGTGTTTGGCAGCATCCCTGGCCTCTGCCCACTAGATGCCACGCCCTCCCACCCCACCTGTGTCAACCAAATTGTCTCCAGACATCGCCCCATGTCCCCTGGGGGGCAAAATGGCCCCTTGGTTGAGGACCGCTTCTCTAAATCTTCTAACTCAGAAACTTCTGGAACAGGGCTTAGGGAATCTGCGTTTTGAGCAAGTTAGTCTCCTGCTCACTCCAGTGTGAGAACTTCTGCTAAAAAAGCCTTCGTTCTTTTGGAGTCAGACATATCCAGTGTTGCTAACTATAAAGCAAACTCAAGCTTAAATATTTAATAACTTAGGGACTCATGGTGTGGCACTGTTACGTGGCCATTGTGATGGGGTTTCACCTGTGTCCGCTCCTCACTACCTGCCCCCCCAGCCATGTACCCACCACGATGAAGTCCGGCCCAGTATAATCAGGCCACCTCCCACTTACAACCGACCCACCTACCACCTTTGCCCTCACTCGTGGGGAGGGACCTAGGGTGACCCATTCCACAGATATTTTTCTGAACTGTTCTTTTGGGAGCTATAGGAAACCTAACTTTCCCCATCCTCCTAGTCACATGTTATCGTCACACTGGCAAAGTGCTGTTTCATCTTTTTTGTTACTGTTTTATCACTTTTAACATCCCCAGGTGGGAGGCACATGCTCATTTATTCCTCTCATGTATGGGATACAAGTTGTTAACTCATCGGCCCTCAATCACCCAACTGGCCTCCACCCATGACCAACCCCACCCAACCCCAGCCTAATCCTGAGGCAACTGAGGCACAGAAGGTTCTGCTGCCGAGTTGATAATGTCAGCAAAAGGGTGTTAGTTCTAATTAATTGTAATTTCCTTCCACACCTTTCCAGAGAGCTGTGCCAGGGACCACAGCTTCATCAGTAAAACCCTCAGTCCTGCTGACTGGGGACCACAGTTATAGGAACAGGAGGTACAAAGCCTGGGACTGCAGTGAACACACCAGTGAGTCTCCCCTGGAGAAGCCCCGTGCCTACTGACTGGGTGTTTGCACTACATTCTATCATTTTTTAAAAAGATTTTATTTATTTATTTGAGGGAGAACAAAAGCAAGAGAGATCACAGAGGCAGAGGGAGAAGCAGACTCCCTGCTGAGCAGGGAGCCTGATGTGGAGCTCGATCCCAGGACCCTGAGATCATGACCTGACCCGAAGGCAGATGCCTAACCCACTGAGCCACCCAGGCGCCCCTACATTCAATCATTTAACAAACATCTAGTGTGTTAGTTAGGTGCCAGGCATCGCCCCAAGTACAGGAGATGCTGGGATGCGTTAAGATAGGATCCTTGCCTTCAAAAAGCTTCTGTGAAAATGACATCCCAAAGATTCGGAACTGGGAGAGAAGGAATTTGGGGGCTGGACCCAGCTTTGGAGAGGATCAGGAGGGAAATGGGCCAGACTAGCTGACTTTGGGCTACAGACTCTTTCCCTGCCTCTCTCTCTCTAGGATTCTCCTCTGAATTGTACTTACAGCCTCACATTAATTTGTATTTTTTCCCCCTACTGCTACTATTGTAGAGTATGTAGCTTGGTTATCAGCAAGGAAGATTTTGTCTACCCCAGTTGGATGCATAACACAATGGTACCCAGATACTGTTCAGTGGCGTAGACATGACATTGAAAAACATGAATCGCGTAGTGAAAAGGTTATTCCCTTTCAGTTCTCTTTCACTCTGAGAACGTCTCAGTTTGGTGCTAGTGCGTCTTTCGTGCCTAACAATTGCTAACTTTTATTTCTCAACCAAGAAACCACAGATCTCAGGCTTAGAAGCTTGGGAGGGGCAAGAGTTACCTGGCTAGACTTTTAAAAAATGGTTTGTTTTTATTGAATTCACTCTACAGTTCCCTCCCTCTTAGCAGAAGATACTGCTCTCTATTTATGGTAGCAATTTAGAATTTGATATAATATATGGGTTTTAAAAATAAATATAGTTAAGGAACAATAGAGGATAAATAATGGTTCAGGGGGGTGTGAGGATGGCAAAGTGTGAGAAAAGTGGTACAGGCATGACTAGAATTTGCAAAATACTTCGCTAAACCACAGACTCTGGCACTTTTGGAAACTTCTTCCAAGGGCTGGCGGCTTAGAATAATACTATGTTTGGGTCTCCAGGGAAGTAGCATCCTCAGATCTAACACTCAAACTCTGGGATGTGTAAAGGCATGAATTGATTGGAATGAGTCAACTGTATCTTCTAGAACACTGGTTCCCACACTGGCTCAACGTCAGAATCACCTGGGGATTTTTTTTTTCTTAAGATAAAGAGGCACAGGCGCCACCCTAGAATTACTGACTTAGATCCCAGGGTGAGGCCTGAAAATCTGAAATTTTCAAAGTTCCCAGGTGATTCTGATAAGGTGCCAGGCATGGGAACCTTGCTCCTGCAAAAGCTGAATTTTGTCACAAGTGATTCAAGTTGGTAGAAGTTGTTGCACACAAGGAATTACCCAGGGTATCTGTTCTTGGATTCATTCAAAAGGGTGGTTGTGGAGCCTTCCGGTTATACGCATGGAACCTGTGAACGCCCCATTAAAGCACATATCTATCACACTGATTTCCGTTCTCGTTAGTTTGCCTGTCTCACCACTGGACTCCAGCCCAATGCAATTAAAACAATCATTTGCCAAGAGCCTAACGTGAGCTCGG